CACCTCAGGGCCGCCCGCGCCTCGCGCCCGCGGCGGGAATCCCCTCAGGCCAGCCGCCCCGCCGGCACCTCCGGCCGCCGGAGGCCGCCCTGCCCCTCCCTGACCGGGACCCCCGAGTGTCGCCGCCGCAGCTGGTGCCGCTCCCGCTGCCATTGGATTAAAAATAGCATCTTCCCTCCTCCTCCTCCTCCTCCCCTCCCCCGGGCCCGGCTCCCGCCGCCGCCACCACCGCCGCGCCCTGCCCCGGGCCCGGCTGCCCCTCCGCCTCCATTGCCCTCGCCTTTGCCCGCTCGCCGTCGGCCGGAGGGAGGGAGGATGCAGCGAGCCGCGCTCTTCGGCGGCAGCGGCGGCGGCGATGCGCAGATGGCCGCCGGGGACCTGGGCGAGCTGCTGGTCCCCTACATGCCCACGATCCGGGTGCCCAAGTCAGGGGACCGGGTCTACAAGACGGAGTGCGCCTTCTCCTACGACTCGCCCGTGAGTGCAGCGCAGCCGCCGCCGCCGCCGGCTGCCTCCGCTCCCCCCTTCTCCCCGCCGCCCACCTGCCCTCCCTCAGCCGGCTTACCCTGCGGCAAACCCGCCCCTCCTGCCGCCCCTTCCTTCCTTCCCTCCCTCCTCGCCTCAGCCTTCCCAAACCTTCCCCCGGTCCCTTCCCGGGCCACCCCGCTCGCCTCCACCTGCCCCGGGTCTCCCCTCACCCTCCTCCTCACGCCCGCGGCTCCTCACGGCCAAAACAGCTGCCGGCTCCTCCGCAGCAGCGTCGGCGGGCTTTCTACGCTTGTTTGTTTATTTATTTATCAATTTTCCTCCTTCCGGTGGTCTGAAGCGGTTGCTCAGACGCGGGGGTTTTGCGTTTTGGAAGGGGGGGGGAAGCTTTCCGGCCTGCTGGGGCCCGGGGCTGCCCGCTCCCCCCGGGGCTCCCTCGGGCTGAGGGCAAGGCAGCCCCCGGCCTTCTCCTTGGAGGTTTTTAGCGACCAGGTGCCAGTCGTTTAGCTTCTCCCTGCTGCCTCGGAGCTGGCTCTCCTCTTTTTAAAACCTGCAGCGAAAGCATCGGGGTTGCTTCAGGTAGAGGCTGGACCTGAAAAGCTGTGTTGAAACTCCTCCTGAAACACTTTCTCTTCCAGGGTGTCAGTTGCGTCGCTAGATTTCAACAAACTCATGGGTATTTCCCCACCAGCTGGTCGGGTTTGCTGTTAAAGGAGTGTCTGATGTGCAGTAAACTTTCCGTGGTGTGATACCTGTTTTGCAGAACATCCCCAAGCTCCACAGACTGCATGTGGCAGATTTTTACTCATTTTTTAACTTTGCTGATAATATTTTAAGCCTTCACAGGCAGTAACAGTTCAATGCTACGTAAGAAACAGGTGCTAAGAAATGACACTTTTTAAACGGAGCTGAAATGTCATTAAAAGTTGCTTCTCCACATGAAGCTGAAGTTCCCCAGAGGTGACTGAGCACTATATATTGTCGTTAAAGACGATAGCAGCAATCAAAAGGAAAGCTCAGGGTTTACATTACAGAATATTAAATGCGAGATACATTTCAGACAGATTTCTTTGAATCCTTTGTCGTCCCCCAACTCTTTTCTGATTCCTTTTAATGCAGAAAATCAAAATTGGTTTCAAAGGTGACTCAGCTGTCTGGTGTTCGTCATGTCTTGTTGAAGAGAGGTTATTTTTACCCCCACTCTCCAGATCTCAAGTGTCACCCAGCAGCCCTGACTGTATCGGGAGGCGGTCTGATTAAAACTGCCTAATCAGATGCTACTGCAGAGGCGCTAATTGCATTATGTACTTAATAAGGGGTTTGGGGGGAAATCAACGTACCACAATCTACCCTTCAAATTTCTACTCAGGTGAACACGTGGTTGATGGTTTTAGTTAAACTTTCAGGCTTCTTCGACATTTTGGTTTATAAAAAGTTTCTGTGAACCAGTGGGAAGGGATATTAAATACTACTACAAATTAAAAACAAGCAATCACCACCCCCACCAACAATCCTCAAGTAAACCCAGTGAAAGCTGTATTTAATGAAACAGTTTGAACAAAACATAAAGCACTTGAGCATAACTGAACAGAAACTATGTATAAAAGTAGCAAAGAAGTTGGAATCACCACATGTTGGGGGGTTTTCTCCAAAAATGTTTCATCCTTTTGACTTTATTGGGAAGAGATTTCAGACTTTGGAAAATGTTGCCCTCCATTGTTAAAGCTTTTATTTTTAAATTGAATTATAGGCATTCACTGGGTGAAAGGTTTGAGTGAACCTGTGCAGTACCAGTAAAAATAAAACTAGTCTCAGTTTCTGTTGTTTTCTGTGGCTTTTCAGCCCACACTGCTCCTCAGCTCAGCTGGGCAAAAGACTTGCCTCAGATTTTATTTTTTTATTCCCAGATAATCTAGCAGATACTTGGGTACTGTTTCTAGGGTGACAGTTCTAAAGGGCAAATGTTTGCTTTCTTGGGTAAAACACTGTCATTTACAAACTGAAATTAGCGAAGTTGTGTTTTACAGTCTTCCATTCAGAAGGAAAGTGACAAGGTAGAGGCAGGTTGTTGTCTTGGCTGAAGGGAGATGCTTCTCTCGGTGTTCTCTGTGTTAGACTGGTTTAGTAACTTACTTTCTTAAGTTGGCTATGTGTGACCTAAGCAAGCCTCTTCCTACTGAGGTGTCTGCCTCCTTTTGGAAGAAGATGCACAGGTTGTTTGTTTGGTTTGGTATAATATTAAAGCAAATGATCAATGTTAAATAACATGCTCTTGGTTTTATTATCCACGGTAAAATTCCAGATTACTTTTCTGATAGGGGAAGTGTAAGCTTATTTCTCAGTATCTCCTCACATCGTCTCATCTTGCTGTTTGAAATATGCTCCTTGTTACAGTTCTAACTTCAGCACCTCTCTCTTTGGAGCCAACTCAATGCAAGATGTTTTGTTCTGTCACTTTTCTTCAGTACCAGATCTTATTTCAGTAGCTTCTTTCATTAACACTGTAAGACTGTATCTCAAGCTTTACCCTTCTTTTTCTTTTTTCTTCTTCTAAGTGGTCAATTTCCTGAGTATTTGCGTGTGTGCTTTAAAGTAACACACTCAGTCACACAGCAGCTCTATACTCAAGTTTCTTTAGTGATACTAATTGTATATTATTACTTTCCCTGTAAGGAAATGTTGTGATCTTATAATAAGCTAAAACCCATCAGGCCTGTGAGGATTAGGGTACAAAGTAATACTATTATTATTATTATTATAGAGAAAGAATCTGCACTGATTTTGAAAAGGACCAAGGAGGGTGGGATGGTCAAAATCAGAGCTGTTTGTGTCAAGGGTTGCCAAAGATAATGAGGTTCTGGGTGTGAGTGGCTCTATATTTAATTCCAATTGTGCAAAGTTTCACATGGCTTTTGCAGACCCATTTGTCACTCTGCCAGTCGTGTCTCTCATATGGATTTCAGCAGTGTAGTGTCACTGAAGATCCATCTTCTAGTGGTTACAGGCAGCTTCACAGATTGCTCTCAAAATTGGTTGACTCACTATTTCGTTTCCCTGAGTTTTAAGTCTTACTTCCTTGGGTGCATCTGAGAACTGCACCTTTGTGCTAAAGGAGAGTCATTAGTTGAGAGATTTCAGAAGTGTGAGCGTAGGAGATGTACAAGTGGATATTCAGTGTATTTTTTCCATGATGATCTTGTCAGGAAGGTGGTATTGTTAGAAGAGCCACTAAACAGGGGAGAAATTCATGTTCCTTAGATTTGGCCTATTTCTAACAGAATATAATAGGGTTAGTTTCCAGGAAATTCAGCAGAATCAGGAGGCAAATGTCTGTGCACTTCAGAGCCCTAGTGACACTTTTTAGTTTGCTTGTCTCATAAGATTAGACAATATGCCTTTTTATTATTTAATTTTTAATTACTTTCCTGCTTTTTTGGTTGCTTCTAGAAAAGCTACGTTTCCCTGATGTGGGCTCCTACTCTAGTGAGCCACTGATTCTTCTATAGGGAAATTGGGAAGGGAAGGAAGGCTGCCCACAAAAGAGAAGTGTGGCCTTGCGTTGGTGTCACTCAGTGAGTGGCACTGGCCCAGTAGCCATGGTGGCCTGCCACTTCCCCACAGTTTGATGAATAAAATACTGTGCCTCTTATTTTTCAGATCTGACACGCGGTCCCTCCTGGTGACTGGTTTTCTGTACCTGTGCTGCTGGGGTGGAGGTTTCTTTTCTCCTATTTTGCCCACCGTGACACCGAAGTCCACTGTGACTTCTTGTCCTCTTTTGTCGGATAAACATGACTTTGTGTTCAGTAGAATGCAGGAGGCAAAAAGGTTGCATTTATATAATCTTTTAATATAATCTTTTGTCCTTTTATTATTATTTATATAGAAGTATAGTATGCTCAGCTGGAAATTCCGCCTTCTCTTGAAGACCTCTGACCATTTCAGACAAGACTCATCTGAGGGAGAGGCAACTGCTAGAAAAGGGAAGCAAACTGGAGTTCTAAGGAAGGTCTATGTGTATGTTGTAGATGGATGTGCTCCTCAGCCTTCCCCATGAAGGACAGGGTTTACAGCTACAGCACAAGGCACCAGTCCCACACAGACAGGACCAAGCAGTCAGGTTCTGGAGATTGCAGGACTGTGTGTGTTGGAGCAGCTTAAAGCTTGGCTTCACTCTGCTGGAAAACCTTACTGCTGACAACAGTTTCCTTTGTGAATCTTGCTGACTTCATTTTCGTGGCTCGGGGGCTCGGTAATGGTTATATTAGGACAATTCCCGAAGGCTAAACTGTGCTGATGCTCAGCTGTTTATTAGACAGTACAGTGGAGGCTGAAATCCTTGAGAGTTTGGAGTGTGTAACTGATATTGGCAACGCTGCATAAAACTGTCTAGAAATAAGTACCTCCAATCTGGCTGTTCCTTTGGTCGATATTCCTTGAAGAAAATGAGAAAGTCACTGGGGCCACTGTCTGGGAGGGGTAGGCTGGTGTCTTGTTTCTATTGATGGAAGCAGTGAGGAAACAAACAAGAGGACTGAATACTCCCAGACAAATCGAATACTCCAGACAAAGGATTTTGGCCAAGTTACTGAGGCAGTGAATTGTTTGGTGGTAGGTGAAAAATCAGAAAAACCTGAAAAATCAGAGCGGTGATGTGCTGCTGCATCATAGGGAGATACCAAAGCTGTCCCACGGGCGAGTGTTTTGTTGGCTGGGAGTGCACCAGGACACCAAGGTTAACTAAATGGTCTTCGGAATTTGGAGAATGGTAAAATCAGTAAGTGGCTCACAAATGAGAAATAACTTTGCAGCTTTGGAGAACAACCAGGGGGTGTGTGTGTATTGTGCATTTCTGTGGATTTGATCTAAATTTGGATCTTATTTTCCCTCCATATGACTGACCAAACTTTAGTTGTGTGTGTGTGTGTGTATTGTGCATTTCTGTGGATATGATCTAAATTTGGATCTTACTTTCCCTCCATATGACTGAC